AGCAAATGCCGCACGGCCGACGACCACCCGCCGCAAATGATACGGGAGTCTTCTTCCCGTTGTTAGAGTGACAACGTTGACGAACCGATCCGCAACGTCGCCATCAACACTGTTAACCTTTTGACGCCCGAGGATCACGCCGGACATCGCGTCGTCGACGCCAGCGAAAGTGCCGCGATATTATGCGAAGATTATTATTACAGTGTTCATCTTTTCGGTTTGTTTTATTTTTTTGTTAAAATAACCTGTTGTTGCTCATTAATAAACGGTCCACGGGTCTTAACCCTCAAAACCAGTGTCGACCACATTTTTGCGACGTAAGTCGTGTTATGGAATACTTCAAAAGTTAAGTTGAAAAAGTTCATTTTTTATGAAAAAGTTGTCATTTTGAATTCTCCCTTGTGGGTAAGTAAATTAAATTTATAAAAAAAATATACCAAATGATAGGNGGGTCATATTTATAAAAAAAATATACCAAATGATAGGTAAAGACATCAAGCTTTTTGAAAAAGTTATGGCAGTTTTAAGTAAAAAAAATTNTTAAATTTATAAAAAAAATATACCAAATGATAGGTAAAGACATCAAGCTTTTTGAAAAAGTTATGGCAGTTTTAAGTAAAAAAAATTGAAAAAATTAGCGATTTTTAAATTTGTATTTTTTTTTAAAGATTTTTAATACGATAGACAGATTTTCAATTTTTGAGGGTAATGTCTTCAACTAGATACGATTTGTGATCTTTTGTGAACACTAATAAATTTATCGTTTGTATTGCAAAATATTTTCAATATATAAAACATACTCAATGTAAAACTTTCAAAAACATCTTGGACTAAAATTATTTTTGATAAAAATTGAGTAATGAAAAAAAAAAAGACTAATAACTGTGTTTATAGAATGAAGACTTAATGAAGACTTAACTGGGAGTCATACAAACAAGTTAGTGAGCGTAATACAAAAAAAAAAAGTAGCCCTAAGTACCTGTCTACTTAATTGAAATACAAATTTAACGTGGCTATTTAAAGCAAATTTGAACTAATAACATTAATACAATAAAAGACTCACAGAATCATAGTAATTATTTCTATGTAACTCTAGATGTTTAAATATATTCTACAATTAATATATTTAGAACTGAACTAATTTTAATGATTTATTTGAACTAAAAATCAAAATGTTCTTAAAAAATTATACTTAATTGAACGTATTATAAAAATTGATTATAACTGTAAAAATCCATTATAAAATAAGGTGAGCCTAAAAATCTATTATTTAGAAATTATTTGTATAGTCATCAAAAAATTGTATACACATTTCTTTTACTTTAATGTCCATTTGGAGATAAGTCTAGAGGTCAAAATTTTTTTTTTTATTTTAAGTATATTACATATGCTTTAATTTAATGTATATATATATAAGTTTCAGTACTCCCTGGAAAATTTTCAAAAGATAACTTGAAAAAAATAATGTTCTGCAGAATGTTGCAATTTTAAAGTTGCAAGTAAAAGGTCATTAGTAAATAATATTTTTTTAGTTCATTTTTTACGTTTAATGCTCTTAAAATAATTTTTCATTTTAAAATCGAACAAAAATCAGAATCTTTTGGTCATTATGTATCCATTTAGGATGTACGAAAACCAAATAAAAAAACCCATCACAGGAGGGTCGTGGCACAGTGGTGACATGGTATAGATGGATCAAGTATAATGATATCTAACAGTGATTAAAATCACTATAAAAAAAAAAACGCTTCGATGCAAATCTTTANTTAATCACTATAAAAAAAAAACGCTTCAATGCAAATCTTTTGATAGTGTTTAATTTTAAAAAATTGGTAATTATTCCAAAAGCTACATGATCTGCTAGTTCATTATTAATATCCTAATTAAGATAAA